TTATGCCCGAAAATAGAGGTCATATCAAAGCCTACACTTACCTGCCTTTCGGATCGGGTCCACGAAATTGCATTGGAATGCGATTCGCGTTATTGGAGGCAAAGCTCGCGTTAGCGAAGATCTCACAGAAGTTCCGCTTTTCCAGAGTCACCGACACTGACGTCCCCGTAGTCTTCAATAAGGGTCGGGCTCTCTGTCAGGCAAAACGACTTGTTGTGGGCATTCAGAAACGATAACCTAATTTGAGTGTATATTTAGTAGGATATTACTAATTGATAAATTAAGTTATACAGTTTGATACAAATTATTTTATTATGTTTTGTTTCATAAGAAGTGTTGAATAGTATACACACTTTATTGATTGTATTGTACTTACAATTTAAATAGAAAAACTCGACTAATAATGTATACTAAATATATCACAATTGAATTTATTTATTTCAATATCTATTTATACCTAATTACACAAAATATGAGTAGTATACATGTATATCTGATACAGTAATAAATAATAAATAATATATAACATTTATACCATTTATTTAAAAATAATGATCACAATAATAAAATGTGAATGTTAATAGAATATTTCTAAATACCAAACTGATTCCTACAAAACTGTACTCAATATACTAATGTTTACTCAGAAGAAAGTATCCTTATCTTATCAGATCTGGAGATATGGGGTCATTTTTCATGAAACGGAAATTCTCAAAAAATGGTTTTGGGGTAAAGGGGAAATGTCAATTTAAATTAGAGTAATATGATTAAAGTGTTTAATCATATTCAATTCAAAAAATATTTATTGTAAAAGTAATATAAAACGACGACAAACTTAGAAATATTAGTTTGAATAAAACCTAAGGTTATTTAATGTGTGTGCAATAATTGCTTGAATTAGTATGCTCGTATTTAATATTTATTATATAAAACGCATAAATAAAATAAATTATAAAATAAGGAAATTGATTATGTTTAATATCTAGATTTTAAATTTTGTCGCATATTAAAGACCGACGTCGTGGTTCTGTTACCTAACACTTTAGATCAACATTAGGCTTCGAGAACTTGGCCCGGACAATGTAATGGACATAGATGTTCATACTATTTCACAAAATTGGGTAACAATACATCGTTTGTCAGGTATATTCTTATTTTTATTTTAATGTCATTAATATTTAATATAACATTGTAATTACATAGAAAACAAATAACTACAATCAAACCCTCAGTTACCATCAGTAAGCCTAATGCATACACTGAGCCAGCACCGAAAATGCCAAAAAATAAACCAAAATATATTTCGTGGTTCGAGCATAAAGAATTATTTTTATTATTTTACCAAACTAACTATAATTAATTACATATTAATTACAAAATATGTATTAGAAGGTGGACTCAGGAACCCATGAATGTTAATCTATGCTTTATATATATTTGTTAATGTCTTACAAATGTTTTATTAATATCAATATACAATTAATTTGATAAATAAATGAATATTAATGTTATTTTAATTGAAATTTGATTGATTTTTATTTGTAAAGGAGGCTCAAAAAACCATTTATTGAGAATTTCCGTTTCAGGAAAATGACCCCATATCTCCAGATCTGCTTATCATTTATTCATTGTGCTATAAAAGGAGCCAGTACACATTTTCAAAACTTCAATACAAGAGTAACAGAAACTACTATAATACTTTAATAGGCTATTAATAATTGTAATTAAAATAGTTATATTATAATAAGTCATTATAATCGAGTCAATTATGACATTTCTGTTGTGGTCAGTGTTGGCGCCGATATCCCTGGTATATGAGTGGTGTCTCATTGGACTCATTGTGGCAGTACTCGCCTATTATCACTTGTAAGACATCCACTTTATATCATTTAAATCCACTTTATATACAATAATTAAATACTCATTCATTCAGTTCGTGGAAAAATGCCTTAAGTTATTGGAAGGACCGACAGATTTCTGGTCCAAAACCCATACCTATATTCGGAAATGTTTTGAGTCCTGTCCTAAAGGCGCGACCATTTGTAGAGATGGAGTGGTATAACACATACGGCAAACTGTTTGGGTATACATAGCATGAAAACAATTCATAATTTAAATTTATTTCAAATGAAAACTTTTTGATTGTAATGAATAGTGTGTTCAATATGGATAAGCCTTCCCTAACAGTGGCCGACCCGGAGCTCGTCAAACAAATTCTGGTCAAAGATTTCCATTCATTTCGTAACCGACGGACAGGTGGGGGTAATCATAAAATCTTCTCAAAAATCATGTTCAGAGCCAGAGATGACGACTGGAAGCGGGTCCGGGCGATAGCCAGCCCTACATTCACGTCCGGAAAGATGAAGAAAATGTATGCTCTGATCAATCATTGCTGCAAAGATTTCCTCAATAACTTGGATAAGGATGTGACGAATGGTGTGAATGAAGTCGAGTTGAAGCAACTGATGGGCGCCTACACTATGGATGTAATCGCCAGCTGTGCCTTCGCTACCAAAACTAATACATACGCCGATCCTAACAACCCGTTCACCACCCAAGCGGCCCACCTTTTCAATGTTCCCATTTGGAAAGGGTTGTTGCAAATGACCCTGCCCACTTTTATTGTAACCAGTAATATATACCGTAAGCTTGTAGGCGGCGGTAGCTCTACTGCTGACTTTTTTGTCGATTTCACGCGAAGTATAATAAAGAAAAGGAGAGATAATAAGGAAAAACACAACGATTTTCTGCAGTTATTAATAGATGTCGAGAGACCTGAAGGAGATATCCGAGAGGCCAGTGATGCCAATGAAGCACATCATGTGAATGAGGGTAAGGATGAGATCACAGCCGATGCCGAGGCCTTCAGTAATGTATTGGAAAAGAAGTTGACTGAAGACGA